GAAATTTTTTTTCCATCCCTTCACTCTCATCCTGTGGGAGTCTTTTGTTCTGAGGTGGGTCCCTTGTAGACAGCATATCGTTGGGTCATGTTTTCTTATCCATTCAGCCACCCTATATCTCTTTATTGGGGCATTTAATCCATTTACATTTAAGGTTATTATTGAAAGATACTTATCTATTACCATTTTGTTTCTTTATAGCTGTTTCTCATTCTCTGGGCTCTCTATTCTGTTCCATTGATCTAAATGTCTCTTTTTATGCCAGTACCATGCTCTTTTGATTACCGTGCCTTGTAGTATAGTTTGATATCAGGTAGCGTGATTCCTTCAACTTTGTTCTTTCTCAAGGTTACTGTTGCTATTTGGGGTCTTTTGTGGTTCCATATAAATTTTTGAAATATTTGTTCTAGTTCAGTGAAATATTCCATTGGTATCTTGATAGGAATTGAGTTGACTATGTAGATTGCTTTGGGTAGTATGGACATTTTAATGATGATAATCCTTCCAATCCATGAACGCGGTATATGCTTCTACTTATTTGTATCTTCCTCAATTTCTTTCTTCAGTGTCTTATGACTTTCCAAGTACAGGTCTTTTATGTCCTTGGTTAAATTTATTCCTAGGTATTTTATTCTGTTTGAAGAAACTGTGAATGGGATTATGTTTTTAGTTTCCCTTTCTGATAGTTCCTTATTGGTATATAAAAATGCAACTAATTTTCCGGTTGGGCATGGCTCAGCAGTTGTGCCATGGATTCAGGAGATCGTGGTTCAATTCCCAGTCGGGGCACATGCCCAGGTTGCGGGTTCAATACCCAGATGGGGGGCATGCAGGAGGCAGCCGATCAATGATGACTCTCTCATCATTGATGTTTCTATCTCTCTCTCCCTCTCCCTTCCTTTCTCTGAAATCAATAAAGATTTTTTTTTTTTTAATGCAACTAATTTCTGGATATTTGTTTTGTCTCCTGCCACTTTACTGGATTCATTTATCAGTTCTAGTAGTTTTCTGGTGAAATCTTCAGGGTTCTCTGTATACAATATTATGTCATCTGCAAATAATGACAGTCTTACTTTGTCCTTTCCAGTTTGGCTGCCTTTTATTTCTTCCTCTTGTCTGATTGCTGTGGCTAGGACTCCCAGTACTATGTTAAATGAGAGTGGTGAAAGAGGATATCCCTGTCTTGTTACTGATCTTAAAGGGAATACCTTTAGTTTTTACCCATTGATTATGATGTTGGCTGTGGGTTTGTCATACATGGCCTTTATTACATTGAGGTATGTTTCCTCTATTCTCATTTTGCTGAGAGTTTTTATCATAAATGGTTGCTGGATTTTATCAAATGCTTTTTCTGCATTTATTGATATGATCATGTGGTTTTTGTCCTTCAATTTGTTTATGTGGCATCACATTTATTGTTTTGTGGATGTTGTACCAACCTTACATCCCCGGAATAAATCTCACTTCATCATAGTATATGAGCTTTTTCATGTATTGCTATGTTTGGTATGCTAATATTTTGTTGAGGATTTTAGCATTTATGTTCATCAGGGATATTGGCCTATAATTTTCTTTCTTTCTCATGCCTTTATCTGGTTTTGAAATTGGGATAATGCTGGCCTTGTAAAATGAAGTTGGGAGTCTTCCCTCCTCTTAAATTTTTTAGACTGGTTTGAGAAGGACACATGTTAGTTCTTTGAAAGTTTGGTAAAATTCACTTGTAAAGCCATCTGGTCCAGGGCTTTTTTTTGGTTGTGAGTTTTTTTATTACTGTTTCAATTTCACTAGTTGTAATCTGTCTATTCAGATTCTCTGATTCTTCCTGATTTTGTTTTGGAAGGTTGTATGTTTCTAGGAATTTATCCATTTCTTCCAGATTTTCCAATTTGTTGACATATAGTTGTTCATAATATTTTCTTACAATCCTTTGTATTTCTTTGGTGTCAGTTTTTACTTATCTTTCATTTCTGATTTTATTTATTTGGGTCCTCTCTCTCTTTTTCTTGATGAGTCTGTTTAAATGTTTGTTAATCTTGTTTATCTTTTCAAAGATCTTTTGTATTTTTTTTTAGTTTTATTGACTTGTTTTTTGTTTGTTTTTTTTAGACTATTTTATTTATTTCTGTTCTGATCTTTTTATTTCCTTCCTTTTATTCACTCTGGGCTTTGTTGTTCTTTTTCAAGTTTAAGTGTAAAGTTAAATTGTTTATTTGGGCTTTTTCTTGTTTCTCAAGATAGGCCTGTGATGCTATGAATTTCCCTCTTAGGACTGCTTCGCCCTGTGTCTCACAGGTTTGGGTTTGTTGTGTTCTCGTTTTTCACTTGTTTCAAGGTATCTTTTGATTTCTTCCTTGGCCTCATTGTTAACCTATTCATTTTTTAGTAACATGTTATTTAGCATCCATGTCGTTGAGTGTTTTTCAAGTTTCTTCCTGTGATTGATTTAAAGTTTCATAGCATTATTGTCAGAGAAGATGCTTGATATGATTTCAATCTTCTTAAATTTGTTGAGACTTGTTTTGTATCCAAACATGTGGTCTATCCTAGAAAACGTTCCATGTGCACTTGAAAAGAATGTATATTCTGCTGCTTTGGGGTGGAATGCTCTGAAGATATCGGTTAAATCCATTTGATCTAGTGTGTCATTTAAGGTCACTGTTTCCTTATTGATTTTCTGTCTGGAACATCTATCCATTGATGTCAGTGGGGTGTTAAAATTTCCTACTATGAGTGTATTACTCTCTATCTCTCCCTTTATTTCCATCAAGATTTGTTTTACATATTTAGGTGCTCCTATGTTGGATGCATAAATGTTTACAAGGATTATATTCTCTTGTTGGATTGATCCTTTTATCATTATGTAATATCCTTCTTTGTCCTTATTACACCCTTTGCTTTAAAGTTTATTTTGTCTAAGTATTGCTACCCTAGCTTTTTGTTTGTTTGTTTCCATTTGCATGAAATTTTTTTTTTCATCCCTTTACTTTCAGTCTGTGTGTATCTTTCATTCTGAGGTGAATCCATTATAGAGAGCATGTATATGGGTCTTATTTTCTTATTCATTCAGCTACTCTGTGTATTTTGATTCAAGCACCTAATCTATTTACATTTAAAGTGATTATTGATAGGTACATGTTTATTTCCACTGTATTCATTATAACTATGTTTATCTCCCTCTCTTTTTTTTCTTTCTTCTTCTTAAAGAAGTGCCTTCAACATTTCCTGTAGTGCTGGTTTGGTAGTAATGAACTCCTTTAGCTTAGCTTTTTCTTGTCTGAGAAGGTCTTTATTTCTCCTTCAATTTTAAATTATAACTTTGCCAGGTTGAGAGTCTTGGTTGTAGGTCCTTGCTTTTCATCACTTTGAATATTTCGGAGCAATCCCTCCTGGTCTGAAATGTTTCTGTTGAGAAATCAGCTGACAGTCTGATAGGAGATCCCTCGTACGTAACTGTTTCTCTTGCTGCGCTTTTAAAATTCTCTCTTCGTCTTTAACCTTTGCCATTTTAATTATGACATGTCTTGGTGCAAACCTCTTTGGTTCATCTTGTTTGGGACCCTCTGCACTTCCTAGACTTGTATGTCTATTTCCTTCACCAGGTTAAGGAAGTTTTCAGTCATTATTTCTTCAAATAGGTTCTCAGTCCCTTGCTCTCTCTCTCTCTTCTCGCTCTGGCACCTCTATGATGCAGATGTTGTTACATTTCATGCTGTCCCAGAGGTCCCTTAAACTGTCCTCATTCTTTAAAATTACTTTTTCTTTTTGCTGCTCTGAGTGGGTGTTTTATGCTACCTTGTCTGCCAAATCACTGCTTTGATCCTCTGCTTCATCTGGCTTGCTGTTGATTCCTTCTAGTGTATTATTCTTTTCAGATGTTGTACTCTTTGTTTCTGACTGGTTCTTATTTATAGCTTCTATCTCCTTTTTCTATGTTCACTATCTTTGTTTAAATTCTCACTGAGTTCATCTATTCTTCCCTTGAGTTCCTTGAGCACCCTTATCGCCATTGTTTTGAACTCTATTTGGTAGATTGCTTGCCTCCATTTCACTTGGTTCTTTTACTGAAGATTTCTCCTGTTTTTTCATTTGGGGCACGTTTCTTTGTAATTTGCAGTGTTTTAAGCCAAGCTCACCAGAAAGCCTCAATGTTGGCAAGACAGGGGCCCTCCCAACCCATCCCCTTATCCACCAGAAGCTGGAGGGGGCTCAGAAGTAGTAGGAATTGGAGAAATGGCATCCCTGAAGAAAGGTGAAGAGGGCAGGGTGCTTTTTTCCTAGAACTATAGCTAGCTAACATGTTATGACCATTTTCTCTATGTGCCATGTATCCTTCTAAGTATTTTAGTTGTATAATCTTATTTTATCCCCACATCCATCCTGGAGGTAAATAATATTACCCCAGTCAACAGATGAGGAAACTGAGGCACAGAATTTAAATAATTTCCCCAAGGTCAAATAGCTAGGAAGTGGCAGACATGGAATTCATTCCCAGGTGAATGGGTGAATGCAGAGTCTGATCTTGGCCACTGTGCCCTACTCCTGCTAAAGACAGAAAGGATACCTTCCAGTAGAAAGTGACTCAAAGGAGGATGTTTGATATATTGTTTCTTTGTATACAAAAGAGACTATCCACAAATGATGCCAAGGAAGAGAAGTTTAGGAGACAGCTGGAGCATTTAAACTATATTCAGGAAACTATATCCAGGAATGGGGAAGGAGGCAGTGCTGGTGGGGATTTCCCCCAGGGACAAGGCAGCCAGCCAGGGCCAGGGGAGATCAAATATTGCCCGGAGACAGGAGGCTAGATGAAATGACCTCTTAAGCTCCTGAGGGTCCCCTACTTAGGACCCCAAGACCTCATGTGTCCAAAGTGCTGCCTTAGACCTTTATTTAGAGAGAAACCTGAGTAATTATACCTCCCAACCTTCTTCTCTCCCACTCAACCCACCCCACTCCCTGACCCCTGGCTCCCCTCCTTCCTACCCCACCCATCCCCAAAGCTGCTCCTGCCCTCTGGGCTTTGAGGGGCAGCGGTGTGAGATCAACCCAGATGACTGTGAGGACAATGACTGCGAGAACAACGCCACCTGTGTGGACGGGATCAACAACTACGTGTGTGTCTGCCCACCTAACTACACAGGTAAGGCCCCTGACACCTGAGTGGGGATTGGTGGGGGAGCAGGGTATTATGCACTAAAAACACCATTTTCATAGCTTTATCCAGGGACCCCACCTCTTTCCCCATATAGACAGAGACTTGAATCCTTAACACACCATGAGGGGCTTCCCAGAGGCCCTGTCTCTTTGTCCTTCTACCCCCACAAACTACTAGCTCCTTCCCACTTTGGAACAGGTTCCCAGGGCCCTTCCAGCTGTCTATTCATTTAGTTAGTGGCCACCCCCTCCTTTGGGAACCTGGAGACCAGTGATGTTGGAGGCTAGCAGAGAGGCACTCACGTTGCTTTTATGTTTTGTTTGGATTTGGTCAGCCTTCCCTGGAAATCTACACTTTCCAGACACTCTGCTAAGAGCCAGGGATACAAAAATGAGCAAGACAGAGTCCCTTCCAATAGGAATTCATCATGAAGTGGAGAGAGAGATGCGGTCAGTAGAATGAGAACACAGCACCTGTGAGGCCAGTGGGTTCGTAGGGCCACAGAGAAAGAACCTAACCTGGTGGGAATATTCCTCAGGATAATCTCTCTCCCCACTCCCACCCCCACCTCAACGCCTTTATTTCCTATATTAACAGCCCCTAGTGAGGACAGTTAAATGTACCATTAGTGGTGAAGCAAAATGCAACCAAGTTGTGCAGACACAGCTTGCTTTGTTCTAGGATCAACCTAACGTAGCCTGTCACAAACTGGAATTCTATAAATTCCATGAATTCTTTGAGCAAAAGGCTGTATGTGCAAAAGCAATGTGGGAATCTCTGTGTTGAATACTGGCCCTCCTTTTGGAGCTCATGATGCTGATTAACATGTTAGAGGCCCTGACAAGTCCTGCTTTAAAGAAAGCCATTTAATATTGTTTAGCCAGCTGTTCCCAAACTTATTTGGTCTCAGAGCTTCCCTCCTACCCTATCCCAAAACGCCCTTGCCAAGTAGACACTCTGTATTGCAAGAAATGTATTTTAGGAAATAGTAGCCTAAGGCAGGGATAGAAATAAGGCCATTGCACCCCAGGGACTCGTACACCCTGGCCTGTTGGAAGCTGGCTTGGCTGTCGGGACTGAGATGGGAGGTGGGAAGCTGTAGAAATGAGTAGAAGCAGTCGTGAGGCCTTCAGGGAAGGGAGCCCAGTGGTCCCCACAGTCCTCAAATCCTTTGCCTTTATGCAGACTTCCAGCCTCATAGCCAGCTATCCCCCCAACACGCTCTTGGGACTGTGGGAGGGCCCAGGCCAACTGAGGCACCCCCTGCTCTACTAGGTCTTAGTTCTCTGGGGCCCCAGAGAAGGCTCTGTGCTGGGAGAGGGTGCAGGGAAATCCACGGAGGGTCTGTCTACCTCCCTCATGACATCTTCCACCTTCCCAGAGTGGAACTGTAGCAAGTTAATTAGCAACAAGCAACTCCTAATGTGCACCTGCTGTATGCAGAGCACTGAATTAGCTGCTAGAGGTACACAGAAGTCTAAAGTGCATCCTCAGCCCACAAGGGACCTCTGGACCTCTTCCACCTAAGAGAGGAGTCTCCATGCAGCTAAGTCACTGGGTCAGAAGACTGCTTGGCGACAGGAGAGAATGAGCCCCCCAGCAGTTAAGAAGGGGGTGCGGAGGGCAGAGGGGGGTTTCTACTGAACTGGCAGTGGGCAGATGGACAGTGGGGAGCTGAGCAGGCACTTCAGAGGGGTTTCCTGCCCACATTGTCGCTGATGGGGAGTCCAAGGCAGGGGTACAGCAGAAAGGACGCTCCAGAGAGCGAATTCAGCGCTCCTGAAGTCCACGACCCCCTGATGCCCGAGTTCTCTCCCCATCCCCGCAGGCGAGCTGTGCGACGAGGTGATTGACCACTGCGTGCCCGGGCTGAACCTCTGTCAGCATGAGGCCAAGTGCATCTCGCTGGACAAAGGATTCAGGTGAGGCTGGACTTCATGTCCCAGCACCGGGTGCTGGGATTTGAAGCAGAGGCTCTGGGGCTCTCTCTCTCCCCCCACCTCTCTCTCTCAGAGCTAGTACAGGAGAGTTCACGGGGACTGGGTCCCCTTCCCTGTGCGCAGTCCGCACAGCGCTCTGCCTCCCTGGCTCCAGGGAGTTTGCCGGCTGATGCACCTGAGTATGCTGGGGGTCGGGAGGGGGAGTACACTCTGGCTGGTCCAGCAGCCACGGCCATCGGTGGAGCTGACCCTGTGGCCGGCAGCAGAGCCCACAGGAGCTGGGGACACACGTGAGCAATTCTAAGGGTGGGTGGAGAGGCCACCTCAGGGGAAAGCCCCTGTGCTGGAGCCTGGGAATCAAACAGCACCCTTGGGAGATCTCCTGGGCTCTGTTCCCACCTCCTCCCTTCACCCTCCTTCACATAAGCTATGGGGAAGTCACATCAGCTCTCTCGGAGCCCTGGTATCCCCCCATAACGGAAGAGCCCCCTCGCAGGGTGCAGGGAGGCTCCAAAGGGCACTGGGTGAAGGTGCTTAGCTCAGAGCTGGCACAAGGGAGGAGTAAGCAAATGTGAATTCTGTGTAGGGAGTGTAGATCCAGCCCGAATCGGAATTCCAGCCCCTGCTCCGCAGCAAGACACCCAGGTGAAGCGGGCAGGCGTGGGTGGACTGCAGGGAGCGGAGGCTGTGGATGGCCTGTGACGGCACCCTCGGGGCCAGGCTTCTCGGAGCCTGTGAGAGTGGAGGGGGGAGGAGAGGCCGCCCGGGAGCTGACGGGTATGAACAGCCTTGCTCTGCTGTGTTCCAGGTGCGAATGTCTCCCTGGCTACAGTGGGAAGCTCTGTGAGGTAGACAACGATGACTGTGTAGCCCACAGGTGCCGCCACGGGGCCCAATGCGTGGACGCGGTCAATGGCTACACGTGCACCTGCCCCCAGGGCTTCAGGTATGGTGGGGGGCCCCTCAGGAAGGAGCCAGCCTGGCCCAGACATCAGGGCCCAAGCAGCCCTAGTCCTGGGTCTCCGTGGCACCTATATTCATCCTATTTCCTCAGCCCTTTCAAGTCCCAGAGCAGATGTCAACCCCATGGTGTAGACGGGTAGAAGAGCCACCCAGGCCAACTCTGAGTGGAAGCTGGACCTGAGGTCAGCTCATGTCCAGCTCGGGCATGACCCCATCTAATGGAAATTGTCACCATCTTGGAACCCAGCTTGCAGGGTCAGGGTAGCCACATGGCCACACTGGCAGGAATCCTCTTTCTAGGCTGCAGAATAAAACCAATGCAGTGCCCAGTGGCAGGAAAATGGACAGGAATGGGAGGTTTGGGGTCGATTGCTGGAATGAGTAACCCCAGAAGAGAACAGGAGGTGGGAGGCACTGGCCAGGTGTCAGGAGATGTCTGGGGGGTAAGTGGAAGGGGAGGCCTGGGTCCCAGTTCCAACTCCCACACCGACTGGATGGAAAGGACATGGGGAGATTTGAGGGGAGGCAGGGACCACACTTAAAGGGGGGTCAGGCTTGGGGACAGTTCCATGTATGTCAGTGCTCATTGGGTGGCATCGATCCAACTATGCAAATGAGCCTGGTCGTGGACTCTGGAGACTGTGCACCTGGAAGGAACCAGGTGAGCTCAGGCCAGTGGTTCCAAAGCCCAGCTGAGACCACCTGCGCCCGAAGCTATGGAAAAGTAAACCCCCCTGCTCCACCTCGGAGCTATAAATGAGAAGTGGGAGGTGGGCGCAGGGGCTGGGAATCTGCACTTCCTATACTATGTATAAATTGTGGTACATCAACAATAAGATAAGCTTTTTAAAAATTGTGGTAAAATATACGTAATGTAAAATTTACCAGCTTGCCCTGGCCAGTGTGGCTCAGTGGTTAGAGCATCAGCCTGAGCACGGAAGGGTCATAGGTTCCATCCCCAGTCAAGGGCACGTAGCCGAGTTGCAGGCGAGATTCCCCGCCCTGGGGTTTGTGCGGGAGGCAACCAATCGATGTGTCTCTCCCACATCAGTGTTTCTCTCTCCCCCCTTCCTCCCTCCCTTCCACTCTCTAAAAATCAATGGAAAAATATCCTCAGGCGAGGATTAACCACAACAACAATTTGCCATCTTAACCATTTTAAGTGCACAGTTCAGTGGCATGAAGTATAGTCACACTGCTGTGTGGCCATCACCACCACCCGTCTCCAGAACTTCCCATCTTGCAGAACTGAAACTCCTCCGTCCCCATTAAATACTGAGTCCTCAGTCTCCCTG